GAAGCAATTAGGCAAATGGAAAGTGAAAAGTTTCGTTATATTTGAATAAATTATTTGAAGATCTGATCGTGAGCCTGTATTTGCTCGTTCTATTTTGGCAGAAATTCATTGAGATTAATAAAAAAAAAAAAAAATGATCGATTCGAAAAAGTAAAAGAAAGTAGGTTGGACTCATCGAGTTATTATTACTCTTTTGTTTCATCACGATTGAAGAGTATGTTACGAAAAATTATAAAACTTTTGGATTTTAATTATTGAAACGAAAATACGAAAAGATGAATGAATATGGAAGAAGAAGAATGATTTGAATTATAATAATAATAATAATTTTTTTATTCGAAGGAAAAATAATGAAATTAAGCAAAACTCTTTTAAATTTTTTTGAAGTTGAAAATTAATATAAGTTAATATTGATTTTTTTTTTCAATTAAACTTTGGAAATTTCATCAAACTAGAAGAAAGGATTAAGGGGAAAAGTACGGAAAGAGTGAGCACGTTTGATTGTCATTCTCGCTCGAGCAAAATTATGAGAAAGTGTAGCGAAGGAGAATAAGAATGAAACTCGTGTAAAATGCAAGCTACGAAATTGAAGGGACAACAGAGATCGTCTCCTTTCCTATTCTACTAAAAATACCTTAGCATTTCGTATTATTACAATTGTAGACAAGTTTTTAACACGCAGAAAAGAAAAAAAAAAAGAAATTTAATTATTCTAAACGATAAAATTAACAGCCAATTTTTTTTTTTTTTTTTTTTCTAAAATGTAAGGTAAGATAGATTAAAGATGAAAATGAAACTATCATTTAGAGAACTTGAAAAATTTTAAACTATTAATTTCCAATCATCTTCGATGCAGAATTTGTAGAATCGCGAGTTTCTTTATCGAATTAAAATTAATTTTTCTAATAATACTTTTCGTGTAATTTTAATTTTATAATATCGTAATTACAATTAAAATTACATTTTTCTGCTTTTTCCCGGATATCTATTCCACGCTTTTGAACAACAGAAAAATTATTTTCACGATTTAAAGAATCGCGGTAATTTAAATCAACCACATTTTCGGAGAATATTAATACCAAAATTCAATTTATAGAAACACACATGTATGAAATCTAGCCAATCTATCGTAAACATTCGGAACAACAAACTTTTTAATTTGATTTCAAAATATTCGCGTCTCACGAGGAAAGTTTTTAATAATTTAATTCCGAATAAAATAATATTAAAAAAAAAAAAAAAAAACAGAAAAATGTCCTGATAAAAGAAACGTGGAAAGAACTTAATTAAAAGCCCCGAATTTATCTTTCCCTTTACGAAATCCGATTAAATGTCGCAAACAAAAATCTTGATTACGGCCAAACAAATTCGCGCGTTCGTCGTGATTCGACGAATGAAGGGATCGTTTGCAACGAATTTTCTGATAATAAGAAATATGCTAAAGGATATTTGATGATATTTTATTAAAAAAAAAAAAAATATAGTAGAAATGTCGAACTGAATATTATTCAACGCAAGATAAGATAATAATAATTTTAATACAAGTTCCTATAATAAAAATCCTGTTTCTTTTACTCGACGAATAAGTGGTCAAAGTGGCACGTCCGATCGCGTATTTATCCGTTCTACTGAACCTTTTATCTCCTGTACAATTCATTCGAGAAAGAAGTCTCTTCGTTCTCTCTCTCGGAACTAAAAACGAACGAGTCCTTTTGTCTTTCGACAAAAAAAAAAGAAAGAGAGAGAGAGAGATAAATCATAGGACAAAAAATTTTCTATTCTAGAAAAACGATCGAAAATTAAAATTCCCTCGAAAATGAGACAGCGATGAGATGTAATTCGAACGATGGGTACGGAAGTTCCTTAAACGAGTAAAGGACTTGAGAGCATAAAGCGACCACGTTTCGTGTCAATTGCATTTACTTTACGGTTCATTAGCGAATTGTGGCGAACATTGTGTATCTACGTGTGTGTGAGTGTTTATTGGGAGAGGAGAGCCTCGATTTCGATACTGGTGGTGGCTAACGTATGTACGATGATCTCGTACAGGTCTCTCTGTTAACTTTGTTCCAACAAACAAATTGACACGACGATGGGACGAGAGAGTTAAAACGGGTGCTCGTGTTCGTTCTTCGAGCGAATTATTCTATTATAAATTATCGATGTAATGATCGAACACGCTTCTCCTTTATTTTAAAAGAACAAAGGTTTGCAAAAGGGCAAAAATGTGTGAAATGAAGATATCGAGAATGAAACAATGCAAGGATTATGCGTTTCATCTCGCATAGAATTTACTCGGTCGAAACGCACACATCCCTCGTGCATTAATCCTCGCCTAAAGCTGGAATCCTATTATAATTTAAAGTTAACAGTTTGATCAAGACCATCGATAGACGATGAAACTTTTCGCTATTTTTATACACGAAACTTTAACCAAATAATAAAAGGGGAAAAATAAAAGGAAGAAACGCGAAATAATTCTCTACGAACAGTTTGTGTGATTATGAAAGAAATCAAATTTAAAAAAAAGAAAGGAAAGAATAAGCATTCTTTGGATTCATTCATCTCTACTTAAAAATTTTTCCATTGTGAAATTTATAATACTAATTAAATCTATACGGATTGCAGGTTTTCATAGTGCAACACGTGGACGTATGTATGTTCAGCAACGGAAAATTCAAGAACGTGGTGGCCTTGTTATCGTCGCAGGAGGGATGTCCATTAGGTCCTGGAGCATCGATGAAGAAAACTTATACCCTTAAACCTATCAAAGGCTCGACCAAAAATTGGATCGCCTTGGAGGATAGTTACACGAAGGCTGAGGCAATGTTGGCATCTACTGTTATTTGCCCTGGAAATGGTCCAGAGGACAGAAACGTTTTCGCGATATACGTTTCTTATTACGTGAAGGTAAACTGTCTTTACGAAGACAGAGAATTTCTTCTTTCTCGAGCAAAATAATTCTAATAAATGAATCTATTTTTTTTTTTTTT